TGGCCGATTCTCAGACCTACTCAATACGCTCACAAAATTTCATGAGAATCGGTCAAGCCGTTTCGGAGGAGTACGGGAACGAAAACTGTGACACGAGAATGTTATATATAAGATGTCATTTCGATGTATAATTACTTGATAAGAGGATTGAATATTAGTCCTCCAGTTTGGAAACACATGACTGTTATCACGGGTGCCTCATGATAACATTGATACTGCTTTTCATGTAAATAGGCGACGATTACCACTTACCATCACGTGGGCCGATGGTTGATATTCCAAATATATAACAAAATATACTAGATGTCATGAAACCTTCATGAAGGAAGCCTGAAGGGAGTGTACCGGCGCTAACTTAGCAGATTGCTGTAGTCAGTATGGTAATCACAGAAACAATATATATATATATATTGTTATATACACATGTTAGTCCTTAAGGTATATATAATATGTGCCAATATTGTTATATAAATAATATTAAGTTGTCTGAAGGAAATAAAAAAAGTAAATAAATAATAATTAAACAGGAAGTAGGTATTTTGTGACTGTCAACGAGATGCATGGGTGTTATCGTTGAAAACAATTAGAAAGCACCATATTGTAATTTAAATTGTAATTATATATTTTTATATAATCAACGATGTAACAAATATTCAAGAAGAACAGAAACAAAAGAATCCTAATCTTGAGAACACAGCGTTCTCTACTTGAAAATTATGAAATTAATTATTAAAGAGGTTGTAACAATTATTTTTGTTGGAGTTTCCAACAGGTATAACAGAAATATTCATAATTAAATATCGGTAGTGCTATTTGACGGCAATTTAAATTTATTAGTTAAATGTGTGAATACATTAAGTTCTGAGTCAGAACCGCAATTTTTATAGAATGTGTTATACTAGCTATTCGATCCGGCTGCGTACGGGTGTACATGTATTATATATTCCTCTTGAATCACTCTATGTTTAAAAAAAAAACCGCTTCAAAATCCGTTCGGACGGACTGTCTGTATGGACGGACAGACAACGACAGCGACTTTGTTTTATACTATGTAGTGAGTGATTTATTTATTTTCCATTGTTAGTTAAATATCTGTATGCTCGTAGACATCGTAACTGCAGAGTGCATTTCAAAGGCCTGCCACTACTGTGTAGCTTATAAAGTACCAGGAATACAGAAAGCACTGCAATTTCGTTCCCACACGACACCCCTCGAAGGTCTATGAAAATGGACATCAATCGAGTATTTCATACAAATATTGAACTGTCCACTTAATGAAGAGCTCAGGTGCATAAACTGTAAAGAGTGAATGACCAGACTGTGCATCAATTGTCGCGTATTGATGTTGGAAGAAGATAGTCATATCCTTCAATAGTGGATCATAAATCACACTCACACTAAGAAATGTTTTTGTACTCACTGGGGTAATAGTAAATCTATGAACAACCATGTAGCTATAGAATACTGTTGAAGTAGCAACTGCACTGCGATATTTGACATATTTTCACTTATGCAGTTTCTGATGTGTGAGAAGAGATTGGATATACAGGTAATTATTAGAGTATTGCGGTGCTTCACACTTATGGATTCCTATTATTTTGAATGTGAAAAGTGACGCCCAAACTTAGCCCGCGTTTTTTTGCATAAACAGTGAAATTATTAAAGTTTTGGATCGCTATTTTCTTGGGAAGGCAAAGATTGGCAATCGGACAAACTGTCTTACTAATTATGAAGCATATCCCAAAACCAATAATTACTCTGCAAAATACGGGCAAAACTATATGAGGACTTTGGCGTCGAAAATTAACTGATCTGACTTCACATAATTTCTATTATTTACCAGTAGTGTCACGCTAGCGCAGCAGCAGGAGCATATAGTGTTAAAGAAAGATAAAAGAGTCATCATAATTTGAGAAGCAGAGTATCTCAATAATCTTAGCATGTATCCAACCTTTCATCAGTAGATATAGATCATATAGCATTCATAAATGAATGTTATTAGAATATGGAAACCAACATCTTACCGCCTATAGAAAATATGAGAAAAATGATTAATATAATTTTTCTCATTTGCATGACAATAATGATAAGAAGTATAGCTCTTTTTCTACAGTAACTAGAATAGCAGAGTGGCCGTAACGTTCCACCTAATGGAGAATGTCTATATACATACATGAACAACACACAGGACATCACGTCATCAAGATGCGCGGGATACCACCCATGCATTGCTCCTTGGAATAGTTATGCTTCCAAATTCTGTAATTTCATAATTTTATGATTGAAGGATGAGATAAGACATCTCATCTTTCAATCGAAATATAGCTTACAAAGCAAGCTGCTAACTGAAACTGAGGTACTTCCGCAGACAGTTTTTTTACAGTCTCTGTTAAGGTATAGTATTTAATCTCTTGTGATCTTTATTGCTTTATATCCTTAGGATATTGAAGAGTCGACCAGGAGAACAAACACAAATATATCAATGCGAGAATAGGAGATTCTAAATAAAACGTTTGTAAATTTTTTGCTCAAGACTATATCCTCTTATCAGAAGAAACCCATGTCTAACATTTAAAGTCCTATGACAAACCGCCAAACAGCATTAAATCCTAATTAGTAGAGATCTATGGCGAATAATTAAGTTATTTATGGGTTAATACTATACTATATTAATAATTTTAAGCATCCTTGAAGTTAGCAATCTAGACGAAACTTATTAAAATTTTTTCTCATATCCCTTCTGATCGATCCCCTATACTATTCGGATGGGAATCGAAAATGTATCGGCCTGAGCTCCTATGTTAATCCCTTGTCCCAATGATGATTGAAATTACAAGAGCCTGAGTAGTTTCTTAAAAGTGGGAGTACTCTTTTTTTTCACAATTCACATAGCGCCATCTAGACCCAAGTTAGTTAGCTAAAGCTTGTGTTATGGGTACTAAATAACTGATACATATACATAGATATTTTTTTGTAAATAAATCCCTATTATATATAGAAAACACCCAGACCGATACCAACAATCATACTCATGAATACAAATGTTTGTGCCGTGCGAGGAATCGAACCCGCGACCATCGGTCGTAAAGCGGTGTGCTAAACCGCTAGGTCAGCCGCCACCGAGGTCGTCAAACTCTTGGACTATAGTTTTATGCATTAAAAATGCATATAGCTGCTCTATAAGTCATTCTGCGGATTTCAAAACGGAAATGTAAGCGAGGTCAGAGATAACTCGCTCCCGTTTTCGTTCATTGAAGCTATAAAAGTGCGGGCGTTGGAGTTATTAAAGAAAAAAAATTTTTCATCATATGTACTATGCCCTCTAGAATAGGCAAACAAAGTCCATCTCATAGAAATCTACATTGCAAACGGTTTATTTGGTTTATATCCACGAAATTAACTGTTTTGGATTGGGGGATTGGAATGGTGCTTAATAACTTAATTGCTATATACCATGTTAGGTTGACCTCTATGTGGTTGTCTCTGATAACCATCGTGAAAAGTTCCTGGTTAATCCAGGACGGGTTAACTGACCTGATATCATGCTCATCTTATCATCCTCCACTGGCACCTCGACAGCGTATAACGTTAGCGCGCATTCATTAAAAAAACAGTTTGGGATTGAAATCAATATGATTGATACACACTTAGGCAGACAGTTTCGGACTTCGATTCTGTCGGTACTTCTTTATATGAAGTATAGTGTACTAGATTCTTTTGGATTCTTTTTTTGCAAACTCAATTTCATATAAACCAATCTAATTAAGGTATTCTGCATTCTCTAATATGCTTTTCAGAGTTTCTATTTGATTAGGACATTAAATAAAATACATAATACTTCCATTATTATTTATTCGATGTCTCCCATGGTAACTTTCTCATTTCGCATAATCCATTCACTAAAGTATTAATTTTTGGCACGATATTTGGCATTTATAAGAAGTAACTACAATACTGAATATTATCGTGATATTGTGGTGATTAATTATCTGGAATTTTGTGTGTAATTAGGACGTGTATAGAAATAACATTTAAATAAATTAGTTAGGTATATATAATTTTGTAGGGTAATTGTTGGAATATTTCAATATCGACAGCGTTCAAGTAACGCATCGACGTACAAAACTTTTACTTTATTTAAACAGTCAAAAGCAAATAAAATTGGACATTAACATTTTTCGTATCCCAAACCAAATACGGCTGTATGTTCTCATTTCTTTGTTATTTTAGTCAACAAGTTAGAATAATAAATTAGAACTAAAATGATACAAGCCGATTGATTCAGCATTACGGTTAAATACTATTCATATAAACACAACAATAGTTCCAACATTTCATAATCATCTAGCACGAGATAACGAATCAGACACAACAAAGATTTCTTCTCATAATATTTCGATCGAATCTAGACATTAAATTTAGAATTTGGCCCAATTGGTCCTTATCGGCCTTTAATTTTAGTAATAAGATTAGAATTTTAGAAAACAACGGCCAATTTGCACTAACACACTATGCCACTAAACGTGGTCTAGATTCTAACTACTCAATCCTAGTTGATAATACTTTATTTCTTCATTTAGAGAAACTAAAACACTCGTTCGCTCGTTTTTAAAACACAAGCCCCAATTTTGTTACACTTATTCAAAGCATACTTGAACGAGGATTACATTATAAAGTTCACTTAGGATTCTACAGGAAATATTATTAATCCATTAACACCTATAAGTACAGCTTTAATTAATGTAACTGACTCGCTCAAAAATGCTCTGGAAAATAACGTAAAATGTCTTTTGGCACGCAAAGTGATTTTGGTCTGTCCAAATCATAGATATCTGTACGAACTTGAGTAATCCTAACAGTTTAAGGAACTTTTTATTCTCCAACTAGAAAATTTCCCAGTATCTACTATGCTACGTTACATATATTAACCATTAGTTATTGCGTTTATAATTGTTATTGCTTTTATATTTGTTTATTATTTGGTCTGTCAAATCTTTTGTGAGAAATTGTGTAAAAAAGATAAAGTTGTGTGCCTTATTTGTGTGCTTACATTCAATTTATATCTAGAATAGAGAAAAGATAGCGGTTTGAATTAACTACGAGCAGCAAAACTATGAGTAAAATATTTCTAAAAGTTGAACACTAGTAACTCTAACGGGATAGCCGTCATCACTGACATTTAAAAGGCCTTCGATAGGATTCATCCTGAGATCACGTTCTTAAAGATTAAGTACAAACTATTATTGCGTGTTTAGAATTGCACTGTTACGATTCTTATAATTACAGATAGTATCGCATTAAAGAAGTCTTTGATACACTCCGTAGTATTGTCTATATCAGGCGTGGGGTGCTTCAGGGCAGCCGACTAGGTCCGCTTGTCACGTCTCCGAATTGAACAAAGAGTTTCTTCTCTTTGACTCATTACGCACTTATTTAGTGGTTTCGAGCGTGACTCACACGGGCGGGTCCATGTCGCGCTGCAACGACGTCAGTCACGTGTGGAATACCCACCCGGGGATCGGAGGTCACGCGTCCGGAACACCGTGGATATGATGCTGATAGTTGTGATTCAGTTTGTTGGCAAACTCGTGCATTATATCTCTGAATATCACCGAGTCGAGATTCTCTCCGAGTATGTACAATAAGTACCAATCGCCCATCTTGCTTCTCCTTACTATCGTGTCGACATTGTCGCGTCTGACCAGTCTGAATCTCATGCGCATCATGTAGACACGCATTCTTGGGGAGAAAATGATCACAAGCCTGTACAACAACGTGATGAAGGTAAGGAACCCGAGGATGACGAACCAAAACCAGAGGAAGACGTAGATCTTCTCGTTGACCACATTCAACGGTAGAATACAGAGAGCATCGTGCCGCTCGACTTCGCCTGACGAGCCGAATTTGTTGAATAGCGTGCATTTCACCATTCTGTAATAGATAAAAGATTGCTTATTAATTACAAAATATGGCATGAGTTTTATTGTTTTACTTATTTTAAAATAAATAAAGAGTCTGAAAGAGACTTAACTGCATGAGATCTTTAAATAATTTAAAATTCTGCTGTCAAATCTCCATCCAGTGGCTGCCTAATATATATTAATAGCAGTGTTAAAGAATATGATAACAGGTTTATGTATGATATTATTGCGACTGAAGGAATGTGCATCCATGGCATCCACCGATGAGCGTCCTTTTTATTTTCTAATAATTGGAATAACAGTGAAGCTTACACCAGAATGTCACTGACAGTATCAATACCACGTAAATCACAATACACATTCTGTCAATTACCATTCCTTTAGAGCCATTCTGTAAGCATCACATACGAATTCAAAATTAGAATCTGCGGTAAGATTACATTACAATACATTGGTTTTCTGTAAAACTTAATAGCGTCTGCAGTGCCACACGCTCGAGAGCGGGATCGAGGCACTAGTGTTTTTTTCAGAAATATAGGCAAACTCGATAGCTCAGTAGAAACTTTATATTTGGGAATGGATACGGGTGCCTTGAGTGAAGCGATGACTGAAATGTTGATAAAACGTTTACTGAATACAAATGTTGGTCTCAGGTATGGCTCTGTACCAGTGTCGACTCTGTACCAGTGTCGAAAACAACAACTTGCGCTATCCTTCATTCATTTCCTTTCCGAAGGGCCAAGTGTAAGTTGTCATGCCTCTTTATCATGTAATGTCACTGACATATTTCATTCACTCTTCTATCGAAAGAATCATCTGGAGCTTGAAAAAAGCAAGCGGCTTGCTTTGTTTTCTAGGCAGACTAGCTTTTGCTCGCGGCTTCGCTCGCGTTAATTTATCCCTTTAGGGGTAGAATTTATCAAAATCTTTTCTTAGGGGATGCCTACGTCATAGTAGCTTTATGCATGCAAAATCTCAGCCCGATCGGTTTAAAATTGACAAAGTTTCATACCCTATTTTATCCCCTTGAGGGTAGAATTAATCAAAATCCTTTCTTAACGGATGCCTACGTCATAACATCTGCATGCCAAATTTCAGCCCGATCCATCCAGTGGTTTGGACTGTGCGTTGATAGATCACTACGTCAGTCACCTTTGAGTTATATATTAATATATTTTAAATTTAGATTTAGAAGTCAGTGACTGTTCATAAATCATGGACTTGTTTTAGAATTAATATTGCGAGTAATGCTATAATAGAAGTTGGAGTGTAAAATACTATATTTACCTTGGAAATATGTAAATCATGGGATCCACACGATCCTCCTGGTCCGACTCCATATACGCTATCACGTCTAGTCCGAACGTCATGAACTCGCCGTCGAAGAAACGGTTCATCAGGAACATTTGCCCTGTGGAATAAATGCAGTATATTAATAACAAAAAATGTGTTAATTTATATTTCCGGCGAGGGAAAGATCTGTAAAGAATGAATTTCGAAACACAGATGGGAAGAACGAAGGTACCAATTTATTTTCTTGCCAGATCTTCTCAACTAAAGTAGCCAAACGAACTAGACAATATGGATACTGATAAAAAAAATACATGCGTAAATTTGAATTGTTACACTCGTGAAAGTGACGTGCTCGTGGGGACTGATCTATTCAAGTCAGAGCAGAGATTTAATATATTTTTATTATTCATTCATTGCCTTGCCTTTATCCCATTATTTGGGGTCGGTGCAGTATGTCATTCTCTTCCACTGCTCTGTGTCGGTCGTCATATCTAAACATACTCTTCTTTTATTCATATCATCTTTCACACAATCTATCCATCTTTTCTTAGGGCATCCCCTCCCTTTACATTATTATTTATTATTATTATATTTATATGCAGGTAATTGCTTCTTCAAAGTGTTTCCGCCAATTTTAACGGCGTGGGGTACAAGCTTATTATTCTGTGGGTATAACGCAACTTCCGGTCGCGTTTCCAATAACAAAAACGGGTGCGTTCAGTGCGATCGAAATTTGCTGTCTCCGTTGTCCTTACACGTGTGCGGGCAGGAAAACGGCGGATATGAATTTTCATACTTCTTCACTATATAGTACAAAACAATATCGCTGTCTGTCTGTCTCTATATATGCTTAAATCTTTAAAACTACGCAATGGATTTTGAAGCGGGTTTTTTTAAATAGTTAGAGTGATTCTAGAGGAAGTTTTATATAAATATAATACATGTACAACCGTGCGAAGCCGAAGCGAGTAGGTAATAATCTATTAATGGTATAATGCAAAGTCTCTGTTTTCGCCCATCTCTTTCTACGCTTATTTATACAGCTAAAGTATCGCTAAAACACGAGAATGACTGAATCGATTTGGCTAATTTTAGTCTTGAAATATTCGTGGAAGTACAGAGAAGGTTTAAACGGCGATGTAATATGAAGAAATTGCATGTAAAATATAAAAATCAACAATTTCATTTTCCCATATTCTATTACCTGTCAAACAGGGTGCGTTTAGAAATTTATTGCGCAACTAAACTTCTATAATATTTAATTTTGAGGCAGAACGCAGTTCGTGATGTCAGTTAGTTGTATTATATATAATTGTCGCCATATTGTAACGATACATTTGCCGTTTGATATAATGTTTGTACCTCTTCTTTACTATATGTTGCAAACAAAGTATATTCTATCTATTGTATATTAATAATTTGAATACGCAGAGTAGCAAAAATAGGGGATGAAACTTTGTCAATTTTAAACCGATCGGGCAGAGACTTTGCATGCATAAATCTACTATGACGTAGGCATCCCCTAAGAAAGGATTTTTATAAATTCCACCCCTAAGGGAATAAATTAACGCGAGCGAAGACGCGGGCAAAAGTTAGTTTGTTTATAAATACATATATTTTCTTTTGTTTGCATCGTTTATCTTAATTATATTTGTTTCGGCATTAAAAAATATATACAACCCTAAATTGCCACTCTTCTACTGTCTCTTCTATTTACCTCTATTTTTAAGTAGGGTTAGTCGTAACATATATAACTGACAGCAATGTAGCTGAGAATTAAGATAATTTGGTCGCACCTTTATCGTTAGTATGCAATTATAATAAATAACCATGGACAATTAACACAGCGCCATCTAATCCCACGGTAAGCAGGACTTGTGTTGGGTACTCGACAACTGATATAAATACTTAGATATCTTTTTTTGTAAATACATAGATAATATATCTAGAAAACACCCAGACCGATACAAACAATCATACTTATGAGTTTGCACCGTGCGAGGAATCGAACCCGCGACCATCGGAATTAAAGCGGTCTGTTAAACCGCTAGACCACCGAGGCCGTTCCAAACTCAAGTCCAGCGAGTGCTTGACGCACTTTTTATGGCCAAACGAGTCCGTAAACATCTTCTTACTGAAATATCAGCGGCACATCTGCCGCGCGCCCGCTCTGAATCGCCAACTAGCCCTCTCTTGTACCGTCCATTGTAAATCATAACATATTGAATTAAAAAGAAACATAAAAACAACATTTACTGCGACAACTTCTAATACCCGATATTGTTGACGTGTGCGATTAAAAATATGCGAGCGTGTTTTGTTTTGGATGGCTTTAATGGCTCATACAGATATCATTCTAAAACTACTCGCACCAATAGAAAAATAAGCACTTTCTATTTATATGTATATTATGTATGTAATGACAAACAAAACGTATTTAAGTATACAAGCTAGTAACATCTTTATCATAGCACTTACTTGATATATATCATTATATTTCGCCCAATTTACATAATATCGTGGTAGATTATCGTCTGTGTTTTTTTGATTAATAAGCTAATAGCTATTCCCACCACTTTGTCCGAGTGGAATAAGTGAAGAATGACGAATTTCCATATAAACTTTCACTTTCAAGTTTCTAGCTTTAAAAATGACGATGCAAAGGCCTATACCACTTTATGTGCTCCTGGTAACCGTATTCGTTAATCACGTGGCCGACGTCCCACTCGATTGACAGCACCCCACTCGATTGACAGCACTTCTGTATGGGAACATCTCCTACAGGAATATACAGTCCTAGTATCCCGTCGCTGGAAAACACGTGACCTGGCGTAGCGTTTGACTTGACTCGAACGCCGAAATAAGAAGAATAAAAAACATACTAACCTAAAAAATAAGATTATACTTCCATACAACCTTTCACCTCCCCTTTCAACCCCTTACAACCCTTTTTCGGATTAAAAAGCCTATGATGTTCTTTCTCAGGGTCTATTTTTTTTTACTAATATACAATAATGGAAAATATTATTTTAAAACTGGGTTAATTCTACAATACTCTGGATAAATATTTTATTTTCATTCCAACAAAACTACACGTCAAAGTCCCTCCTACACTTAGAACCCACGCATTACCAAGCCATCATGATCATACAGTATCTGCAATTAAAATCCAAAGGCCATATCTGCCATGCCAATCCATGCCACTTTATGTGCTCCTGGTAACCGTATTCGTTAATCACGTGGCTGACGCCTCGCTCTATTCACAGCGCTCTTGTGTGGAAACATCTCTTACAGGATATGCAGTCCTAGTATCCCATCGCTGAAAAACATGTGACCTGGCGTACCGATTGATTCTAGTCAGAAACACGACGCCAATTTGAAGATAAAAAATAAGTTTCAAGCTATAAATATTACGTTATTTCCATACTACCTTTCACCTCTCCTGTCAATCCCTTACAACCCCTTACAACCCTTTTTTAGCATTAAAAAGCCAATGATGTCCTTTCTATAATTTGTTACTGTAATCCATATTTTATTTTCATTCCAACAAACCGCACGTTAAAGTCTCCTCCTACACTTAGAACCCACGCATTACCAAGCCATCATGATCATCCAGTATATCTGCCATGCCAATTCATGCCACTTTATGTGCTCCTGGTAACCGTATTCGTTAAACACGTGGCCGACGCGGCGAAGCCCCGCTCTATTCACAGTGCTCCTGTGTGGGAACATCTCACAGGAATATGCAGTCCTAGTATCCTATCATTGGAAAACATGTGACCTAGCGCAGCGATTGATTTTCTAGTCAGACACGAACGTGAAATATGAAGAAAAAAAAATACGTACCTAAAAAGTAAGGTTCAAGCTTAAATTATGACAATACTTCTATACATCTCCCCTTTAAACCGCTTACAATCGTTTTACAAAGTCTATGTCCTTTCTTAGGGTAAAGACTATGTTTGTACCAATTTTCATGTAAATCGGTTCAGTAGTTTTGGTGTGAAAACGCGACAGACAGACAGGCAGACAAAGTTACTTTCGCATTTGTAATATTAGTAAAGAAGTAAGGATTAGTAAAAATAATACTGTAAAGTATATTCAATATTTCAGTACTTTTTGTATGAAAGAGTAACAAACATCCATCGATCCATCCATATTCAGTCGACCAATATCTATAGTACAAAACAAACTCTGCTTAGTTTAGGGCCAGCCGGTAAAAAATGGGAGGTACGCGTATCGAAGTCTCTTGTGCTGTGCATGGGTATAGGCCACAGTTACTATCACTTACTATCAGGCGGTCTTCAGCTTTTAAGCCATTGCAGTTACCTAAATAATGTCATGATTATTACCTTATAATTTACCTACCATTTCTCATCTTTCAAACCAAAAATATAGTTAGGAACGATGCTTGGCGTCTGAAATACTCGTTAGTAAGACAGACGAACCTACTTTGATGACTTTGCAAACTACATATTTATGATTTTCTGAATTTCCGAAAATTGTTTGAATACTGGTAATACACCCACAATTTGTTTACAATATTACAAATATAATGGACACATACAGAATCAGGAGAGACGTAGTCACACAAACGACTTTTCTAGACCTTTCTAGATGTTTATTACCCCCAATTTGTTTACAATATTACAGATATATACAAATAATGGACGCGTTTCGGAATCGGTGTAGTGTCACAGAAAATGACTTTTCTAGACGTTTCTAGATGTTTATTACCCACAATTTGTTTACAATATTGCAGATATATACAAATAATGAACGAATTTCAGAATCACAGGAGACTTTGTCACACAAAACGACTTTTCTAGACGTTTCTAGATGATTATTATCCACAATTTGTTTACAATATTTCAGATATAATAAAATAATGAACGCATCTCAGAATCAGTGTAGACGTTGTCACAGAAAATGACTTTTCTAGACGTTTCTAGATGTTTATTATCCACAATTTGTTTACAATATTACAGATATAATGGACGCATACAGAATCAGGAGAGGCGGACGAGACCTTTCTAGATGTTTATTACCCACAATTTATTTACAATATTACAGATATATACAAATAATGGACACGTTTCAGAATCGGTGTAGACGTAGTCACACAAACGACTTTTCTAGACCTTTCTAGATGTTTATTACCCACAATTTGTTTACAATATTACAGATATATACAAATAATGGACACGTTTCAGAATCGGTGTAGACGTTGTCAAACAAACGACTTTTCTAGACGTTTCTAGATGTTTCTATTTTAGCGAACATAGTCGTTTAACTAAAATTGAATATCCTGCGAGGCAGCGGCGGTGAATGTAAGTGGGACGGGAGACGCGGCCATTTCGCTGTAGTGCGACAAAATAGAAAACACGTTTTGTGTATCTATTTGTGTTGTTCTATATGGTATTGAATATTTAAGAGAGTGGAGACAAATTTGTACATTATTTCTACTTCCAAGCAGTTTTACTGTGTGATTTTTCATTGGGTTAATCAATTTTCTGCCATTTAGTTAATTTTTGTTGTTATATCTTCAATTTTTATGTTGTAATTTCAACGACCTCGGTTATCTAGCGATTTAGTGCACCGCTTTACTTCCGACGACCACGGGTTTGATACCTCGCACGGTGCAAACTTTTGTATACATGAGTATGATTGTTTGTATCTGTCTGTATGTTTTCTATGTATGTATTTATGAACAAAAATATCTATGTTATTGTATCAATTATCTAGTGCCCATAACACAAGCTTTAACTAGCTTAATTTGAGTCTAGATGGCGCTATGTAAATTGTCCTGAGATTATTCATATTATTATTATAATATATATAAACTTTAATTTGAACACTTTTGTATACTCATCTTTTATTTTTAATCTACCGATCATTCGGAAAGCTGTCTTATCACAAGATGAACGAGTAACAAACAGGCGTGTTACATGTTTGAATAAATCTTGTAATTTTACATTTTCTAATTGAAATGTATAAGCCATAAGAACATACTCACCTATAACATTTACAAGAGCAAGTCCCTCGCACAGGTAGTACCTGTACGCCCACCAGTTGTGGTATCTCAGGTTCTCCCACAAGTAGTCCAGGATCAGTTTCTTCTTCGTCTTCTTCTCTATCTCGGTGCACACGCCCACGTCCAAGTCCATCATGAGGGCGCGGATCTTGCCACCCTCCCATGACTTCCACAGCCATCGGGGAGCGTAAAACAACATCGCCTGCAACAACCGATAAAAAAAAAATTAATTACTAGCTGTGCCCGTTTTACCCGCGTGTTTATAGCCTATGCCTTATTCTGATGTATAAGTTATAATTACCGTAAAGTTTCATCAAAATCCGTTCAGTAGTTTTTGTGTGAAAGAATAACAAACATACTCACAAACTTTCGCGTTTATAATAAAAATAAGATTATTATACCTTAATATTAGATATTAGGTTATCAATAAAAATAGAAATAGAAATAATCTTTATTCAAATAAACTCATTACAAGCACTTTTGAATAGTCATATTTTGATTCTACCACTCATTCGGAATGCAGGTTCATCACAAGAAGAATGAGCAAGAAACTTGTGTGTTGCTCTTTTTAATAGATGTTTTTTATATAAATACGTATAATATATAAATACGTCAAGCAAACACTTGGTATCCCTCTTTACGGAAATTATCCGGACAGAAGAGTATGTAATTTCGCAAAGTAAACAAAACAAAATAGTTTATATAAAGAAGGAGTGCCGAACGATAGTATTGTTTTATAATTATGCATAAAAATACATTAAATCAAAAACAAAAACGTTACTTGACACACACACGCTTATATACTCCTTTGTTTATTGTCTGTTCTACTATCAGTGCCTGTGATTATAGAAGTATATGACACGAACCTTAATAATCTTCAAACTTGTAATTTAAATCAATTATGGTAGAATTTCGAACACCTAGCGTGCACAAGTTATTTTAAATATGCCAAAAAGGGCAGTCAAACTCAAGAAAAGGTGTTTCACAACCAACTGATATTATAGGTATAGAGATAAACACGTTCAAACATACACTTATGTATAAATAAGTATAGATTGCGAATCCGAAGATAGAATCAGGGAAAATGAAATAGCGAATATAAACTGTTTTATTCAAATGCAAATTATTTTTATTTCATCCTACGTGCACCTGAATCTAGGGCATGATGTATGTTCTAAAATTTATTCACTATTTGGCCGTGATTGATTTACAGACGTCCAAATATTTAACCATACGTACGTCAAAACATTTTCCGAAACTTTCTCATTATATATATATATACCAATATAATATTGGTGAAGAGTTTATTTGTTTGATCGTGCTAATCTCTGGAATTATCGGTTGGATTTGAGAAATTCTTTTTGTATTTGATAATGCAACTGTTATAAATGGAGCTGGTCGGGGCACTTAGCGCGATACAGAGACAAGAGATGGACAAATGTAACGACAAAATGGCAGGGCCCGACAGGCAAGCGAACAGTAGGACGGCAGAGAAAAAGATGGGCAGATGACATAAAAAATATAGCAGGAATAGACTCGATGAGAGCTGCTATGGATAGAGAGGGATGGTGGAAGATGGAGGAGGCTTTTACCCGAGGGGGGCCACATAATAAGCCACAAAATAATAATAACAATAAACCAAAAGTATAATGTTGGAGGAATATAATGTGGAAGTTTAAGCTATAATAGATAAATAAATAAATGCAACTATTAAAGATGATGATGATGATGTTTTAGAGTGATCCATAAAAATCCCTACATTTTATGGATCACTCCATTCTCATAAATTTGAATTTATAATGAATTTGTATTATTATAAACATGTATTGCTTTAGCACTAGCATATGCTCACTCTATTCTACCAAATTTGAATTTATAAATGAATCTGTATTATTGTAAACATGTACAACATTTATTTGAAGAGAATACGAGCTGAGTTTCTCTTCAGTTCTTCTCATCTCGAAATCATTCCGAACCGACGGTAGATTTGACATATCATGAGAGTCTGTAATAGACCTACATGAATAAAGATATTTTGAATTTGATGATAGTGAAATGTTAAACCCGCTTCCGCTAATGGTTTATGCTGGTGGAGTACCAGTGGAGGATGACAAAATGATCATGCTCATTTTGTCATCCTCCACTGGTCATGTCAGTCAGTCCATCCTGGCAAATGGCATTTTCCACGATAGTTTTTAAGACGGACGATGGTCAATCTGACATGGTACATTGTTAGCAATGGGGTTATTAGTCCGCATTTCGAATATTCCTTTCACTCCTTTTTAGGGTATTTAATATCTCGCTACGATCTTTAGGAGCATAGTAAAAAGAAAAAGTCTGAAGGATATCGCTAAGTGAAAATTAAATATCGTAGCTTAATCGGGCGATATGATGCCTTCCGATTACTTGTGAATTAAACCGTGGTTGAAAATACAGGGTTCAGATAGTTTAAATGTTAGATTGTAGTCAGGTGACACTGTGTTTGTCCCGATTAAAACTGATTGCAAAAAACATTGAATGGAGTTTTCGTTTCTATAAGTAAGCCTAAATAATTTAAACTTAGACAATTACAAATAGACGTATATATATATGCTTATTAACATAAACATTTGTTTTCTTCGGGTTTCGAATCAAGAACCGTCGGTAGGTAAGACAGTGTAATACTACTAAACAATTTTTTATCCAAGATATACATATTTACATCGGAAGTAAGAATATCAATCCATTTGAAACGTGGGTGAATTTTATTGAAACCATAAAATTTGACAATAACTGCTGTAAAATCAACAAGCAGATTTTCTTGTCTCAACTTTTTAAAACAATCCTACCCGTCTTGTAATAAGTGCAAGCGTTCGGTTAACGGAAAATGCATCTGCGTGCGCGGACATAAAGTTCTAAATTGCAACTGCACGGTTATCAGACGTCAATAAATTCATCGGGCTAGACAGTATCGTAAAGTTGGTGTATGGACATAAACTATTATGAGCGCTTTCATCGGGGATGTTAAATGGTTATATATTTGAGCCGATCTATGAAATCGAATCGTCCACAGATATCTTTGTAAGGTAGGGTGGCCGCGCGTCGGTAGTAAAACGATATTTATTAGCGGGAAGCTGACAGATTTGTAATATTATTATTATTTTTATGACTAGAAAAGTACATCAATCTTGAAGAAAAGAAATATTTGACGGTACATTTTGACATTTTATTAAATATGTTTCCAAAATGATAACATTTTTAAGTTTTTCGTAATTAGTTAAAATTTCTTTCAAGTACTTTTACAATATCATCATTGAATTGACTTTATCTCACTATTTTGATTTGGCGTATGTCATCTTCTTCCACTGGTCCCTATCTGAGCTTACTCTTCTATAATGCCTATCATCTTAGACACGATCCATCCTTTTTTTTGTTGACCTCTCACTTTACATCCATACAGCCATGTTAATTCGATCTTTCCCCCGTCCAAAATAAACGGGGATGCCGTCAGGCGGGAGTTGGCCTTCAGCCGCTCCATAAGTCCTACCGCGGGTTTGGAGTGCCATCTGCACTCGCCCCTATCGTCCAGTGAAGCTTTAAAAGTCAGCTGCGCCCTTAGAGGAGTCCGAAAAAAAATGTAAAACATTTCCTTTAAGTCATGGTCAGAGAATTTGAAATTTAATCCTTCAATAACATAATTGTTGGTAAACCTAATTGAATACAAGAAGCCAAATCATACAGATAGTTCTCCAAATGACGACAAGATGGCGCTGCTTGTCTGCTGCTTTATAGTTCCACGCACATATTGCAGTGTAAGCGGATTTTATATAGTTTGTATCGAAAATAAAAATGCTACTTGATGTTTTATTACAAAACAACATAAGCTGAAAGTGTTATTGTAATAGACATATATCTTATTTTATTGAGAATTTTATTACAATGTTTTGTTTATAAAATAAATGCGAGAATGTTGGCGTTATGATAAGAGAGAAAGAGAAAGAGAAAAAGAGAGAAAGCGAGAGATTAATATATAGAAGTTGATACAATAATATAATATAACGAGTTTATCAGAAAATTGGTATTAAGAAGATATATAATATAAGCCATTAGATTTTCCGCAAGGCCATCTAATGCCAACCTAAGCAAAGCTTGTGTTATGAGTACTAGACAACTATATACTAGACTAGCTGTGCCCGCGGTTTCATCCGCGAAAAATATATACCCATATATATATGTGTTATTCTTATGCTTATAAGCTATATTACTGTAAAATTTGATCAAGATCCGTTCAGTAGTTTTTGCGTGAAAGAGTAAAAACATAGATATATGTTTTTACTCTTTATTTTATCTATCTATACATCTATACTCACAAACGCATTTATAATATTAGTAAGATAATGAATACTTAGACACATTGTTTTTGTAAGTACATACATAATATACATAGAAATCACCCAAAACGATATAAACAAACATACTCAAATATTTTTTTTTTTTTTCTAGGAGACTTTAACGCCCATCATAATCTTTATTGTCTAAAAATTTTTTTTTTTTTTACAAATACAAATACTTAAGAAGTCCCTGCATTCTGAGGTAGGTATAGAAAATACCTGTGTTTCAGAAGTCAGTGTCCTCTTCCATATTGAGGTGTACTTTATTTGTATAATATTTTTATATAGAACTTCCCGCGGCTGTTCTTGACGGAGTAACGAGGGTTAGATGCCGTAAGTCAGTTGATACATATTGAAGAAATGGGCTATAATTAAATTTATTTACTCGAACATTTTACTAATACTATAAACACAAATGCTCTATAAAATAGAAATAGAAATAATTTTAATTCAAATAAACTCAACTAATTGTTATACCTCGACCAGACATAGTCCATCCTAAGGTTGCTTGGATGAAATCGCTATTTAGCGATAAGCCCATTGTTATCTCCATATTGTAATTATGTTGTTTTTTTACTTTTGGTGTACATATTAATTTATGTAATTGTTATATTCTTTCTCTGAGAAGAACAATAAAGAGAATTTCATTCATTCATCCATTACAAGCACTTTATAATAGTCATTTTTTTCTTCAGTAATTTTAACTGTATATAGGATTCTGCTTTCCATATGTAGTATTTGATTTGGCTGTGCGTAAAGCCGACTCTACAAGAGTAGCCAGCTCCTTCTAGAAACGCAGATGTGTTCTAAAATCTTCACATTTGTCTCCGAAAGACCTTAGTGT